GAAATCCGGTGCAATCGCTTCCAGCCACGCCGCGGCATGGCCGATTTCGAACTTTGGCGGGATGCGGAAATTCGAGCAGACTGAATGCTGATTGGGTGAAGGGATAATTATGTGATTGGTCAAAATTAAATTCCTTGCTTCGAGCCAATCAAAACCATCAAAATGCAATATGGACGAATCACCGTTCAGCAAGTCGCTCAGCAAGTCGTTATTTTGGCCAATCAAAAGGCTGGAACGCACACACGTGACAAACAGACACACACACACACACACACACACAGACACACAGACACACTTACTACTTTATATATATAGATAGTATTGACTGTGAGATAGTATAATGGTGTAGTAACGTTACGCCATATGGTAGGTAGCCAATGACTCACAATTGGACGACAGAATCGTACGAAAATGGTCAGTAAGCTCTCTGGGCTGCGAATTGGGATTACTTGATGCTTCTGAAGGCCCATTACTGTACTGTACTCCATTAGAAAGCAGCGTATGATATGCACTCCACAAGTTATGCCTAAGTAAGCTACACCAACTCAAATACTATACCTTCACGTTCCAATATGAACGCTACAATGGAAAAACCGCTGGCGGATTTATTCTCTCCGTGATATGGCTTGCATGACACAACTGGATTGGCTAAAATGTATGCATTTCAAAATTTCGACCCAATCAAAATGCAATATCCCCCACCAAATAAAGTAAAAAGTGAATCACGCCGCCACCATGTGGTTCATTCTGTCATTTCGACCGAAAGATCAATTCGACGTAATGCGCCTTGTGAGCCTCGTCGCGGCGGCGGTGTCCTCTGTAGTAGACGCGGCCTGCGTATACTCGTCTCTGCCGGCGACCCAAGTCGTGATCTCCGACAGGTCCATATGCCCGGCGGTGAACTATACGTGCATCGTAGACAAGTCGACGTGCGCGGTCCTGCCGTGGGGGTCATACTGGGACGCCATCGGCAACTTCAAAGACGCGCCGTTGCACTACTATTCCTGGTACACCCGCCTCTATCCCATCATACGACGGCCGTGCGCACCTCGTACAGTGGCTAACGGGACTGTTAGGTTCTTCACGGGCGGACGCTCCGTCATCAGCTTGGACATGGCAACCTTTCCTGACCGCTTTTCAGAGCTGTATGTGAATATGTATATCACAGAGCTCCACTCACGGCACCGATGTGTTTTAGATCCTTCACCAACATTTCGTTGCCCGTTGACTCGAAGCTACCCCCTTGGCCCACCAACCTTACCAAACTGTAACCTATACGCTCCCCATCCAAATTGCTCTAACTGGGATAACTAAGCTATATATGTATATGTATAGGACAATGCAGAATGGGAACCTCAAGTCCATCAGTGTCCTGTACCCATTCCCAGCCAAGCTCACGGCGCTGTACGCTGCTTCTTGACGAGTGCACAATCCTCAACACGAATTTCACGACATCCTGTCTTGCTTTAGGTTTCTGGGAGCAAATTACTTGTCCTCTGTCGCAGATTTACGCACGCTTCCCCGCGCCATCACCAGATTGTACGTACAATGTACTTATCTGGTTTCTGTCGATTGTTTCTTAGTATATTTTGATTGATATTCTACTATGTAGTTCAGGACAGAGCGATGCATTTGATTGGTGTAGAGGGCCAACGTGTGAACTACTCTTGTCTTTACACGTGAATATTATGCATTCGATTCGAAGTTGGAGTGGGTAGTCGAATCGAATAGCGGCAGCCCAAACACAGACAATCGACTAGCCAATGAAATTTATTCGATCCTAAATCCCAACCAATGATAGTTCAAGGCTTTGGCCCCTTTGTCCCAGTTGACTGATTTATATTCAATTTTTGTATGGAATACATTGTATGGTATACAATTGTGCTTTGAGTGGATTTCTCAAATTAACTGCCCAGTCCAAATTTAGGTGAAAAGGACAATCCAAATATTCCTTAACCATGTTCCTGGCTTGAGTGTTTGGTTTTTACCTACTTTCTGGAACCACTGGAAACCCTTCATGCTGTCCTTTGCTTGACAATTGGTATCCTTTGCTAGCATGTATTATGGTTAATACTATAACATGTATCTTTGATATATATAGATACTATCTCCACGTACTAACTAGTACACATATGATATGTATATATTATATATACAGGCCTTCTAATATTTTTTTTGTGACTAGGTCGCTACAAAACAACGATTACACGGAACTGTCCAACCTCGATTGGACCAAACTCACACTAGTGTACGTTGTAATAACGATTCGACTAACCAGCTGATCTTTAGTAATATACTAATTATGAATCATCAACTAAACCAGCTCATCTTTAGTCGTGATTGTTAAACCCAAACTAACTAACTATCGAGATTCACAAGTGTTCTGTATGCTGTAGGTACTTGATCAACTGCGACATGTTGCGGTCGATCAACATGGTCAAATTTAGCACGGCAATTGTTCATTTGTACGTTGGCAAAACGTCGTCCATATATATATATATCCTATGCCTAAAAAAAAGACAAAACCAAACAAAAAGCACAAACATCAAAACTCAAAACATCCATATATATTTTGCCCCACGACGACGACTAGTACCACGATCAAGGATATATGTATATATATATCTAACATATACATGTATGTATGAATATAGGGACTTGTCGTCGGTGACATTAACCAAGTGGATCATGGACAACAGCACATTCGTGGCCCTCAACTCGACCCTTCGGCCTAACAACACGGCGGACGACTCGACCAAAGACGACGGCACGCAGAGTTATACTGGCTACGGGTATTATAACACCAAGATCTCCACCGATCTATCCGAGTGCGTTGCCGCCAACGGCGTGCTGCACGAGCTCTGGCCAGACAAATCCATGCGCAACTACAAGTACGCGGCCGAAGTGTTTACAGTGTGTGTGGTCAAAGGTAATATAACCATCTATTGTCGATTTGATACAAATTTGGGGAAGGGGTGCAATCGAATCGCGCATACCAAGCCGATCCACAATCGATCTGATTGGTTGAATTTCATTGAGAAATGGGTTTTGATTGGCTAATAATTTCAGCTCATCTGAGGTAGCCAATCAAATCGATTTAAATTCCAACGAGAAACCACAACACGAAATTTCACTCGAAAGCACAATACCAAGTACAAAGTGTTTGTTAGTTTGTGTGGTTGAACGTTAGTTTTCATGATACTAGTATATGTTTGGGTCGTATTGTAATGTAGAATATATCCCGTTTGCATCATGCTGGAACTTCGACACATGGTCAAATCGTGTGAAAAATAACAGCCAATCAAAAGCTCTCTGCAAGTTGGAGTAGCCAATAATACGTCGATTCGTGATATGCGCGGTTGAAAAGGCTGTGGATTTTGTGTGTTTTTAATTTTTGTCATGTAATTTCAGTCCAATTTGCCTATTTTGGGGGATTGATGAAATCGCCAACTAATCGAGCAAAGGAGTATGATTGGCTATATACAATGAAGTTTGCAATATGATTGGCTAAAAATATTGATTGATGCATTGCAGTCTCAAAGCTTCCTCTTCAACTCAGTTTTATATGAAAATTCGAAGGTCCGGCGATTGTTCGGCGGTTGAATGACTGTCGAACCATCGCAGGACTTTTGATATATATATTGTCCTTTTCCCCAAAATTTGGACTATTGTGCTGATTCTTTGCCAAATCCATCGATCGATTATTCTTTGTATTGACTTTTGTATGTAAAAATCGTTCAGTATCACACTAATTTCAGTCACCACGCATTCGATGTTACGAGGTGGATTTGATTGGCTACTGGATTGGGTTTTGATTGGTCAATCGATTGTCTGCCGATTTGGTCATTCTGCTCATTCGATATGAGCAGCACTCTATTCCACTTTGGAATCACTTTGACAATATCAAACTATATATATATATATATATAGACAGAGAGAGATTATATCGTATATAAACAACAAGTACGTTGTAATCAAAATGGTTCTTCTTTTTGCTATGTAGACATTGCCATCGCCCCTACACCTATCACGACACTTCCCCGTGTAGCCCCTCCCCCTACTTCCAATACAGGCATCGTCGTCGGCGGGGTCGTTGGCGGCGTCGTGGTGCTCGTGGGTCTCATCGCGTTGTTTTGCTTCGTCAAACGTCGTGCTCCAACCAACAATCACAATTCCCCCCTACCGGAGTCTACTCCCACAGCCAACTACTACCGGCAATCCCCACACCATATCCAGCCCCCAAACCACAAGGCTTCAATGAACCACCCCTCGCCTAACCCCCACTCGATCGACAACCCCCATCCATCAACATCGTCTTCTACTCGCCAGTCATCTGGGTCGACTCATCCCGTTAACAACTCGCACACGGCCAACTCGTCAACGGCGCCTTCATTGTTGTCGTCATCTGAAGAAGCTAACAGTACCATCAACTTGCACGCGCTGGCGCTGGTTCGAGTGAATGCGCGGGATGTTGTGTTGGGTCCAAAGCTCGGATCGGGCGCGTTTGCGAATGTGTGGCGGGGTACGTTTCTCGGAGACGATGTCGCAGTCAAAGTGCTGCACCCGAACCGCGTAACGGTGTCTCAGATTCAGTCGTTTGTGGGCGAGATCGAGCTCATGAGTTGGTTTGCGTCGCCGTATATTGTCAAGTTGGTCGGTGCGAGCTGGACACGGCCATCCGACTTGCAGTGTGTGATGGAGTTCATGGACGGTGGTGATTTGAAGGAGTATTTGGACACTCACTCGAGCCAAGAGTTTGCCTGGGCTGACAAGTACAGACATATGTACCAGATCGTGGAAGGGTTGGTGTATTTGCACTCGCTCAACATAATCCATCGAGATGTCAAGTCGAGAAATGTGCTATTGGATTCCACCAAAGGCACGAAATTGACCGACTTTGGAATTTCCAAAGAAGATATTCAAGCGACGATGACGGTGGGAGTGGGAACGTTTCGATGGATGGCGCCCGAAGTGCTCCAAGACCAGGGGTATACCATCTCGGCCGACATATATTCATTTGGTACGGTTTCAATATATATATATATTTGTTGGTTTTAACCCAAGATTCGGACTTGTGTGAAATGCTATATATATTTATTGATTTTACAAACCATTCGGACTTGTGTGTGTGTGTGAAATGATTCGCCAAATCGATCGATCGATTCATTGTACTGGATTTTGGATGTACAGGTTTGTCACACTAATTAAAGTTTATACACTAATTCGAAGTTGATGAGGACGGTTTCCTCCAACAATCGGATTGGCTCAATTCATTCTTGCTTCTTCTATCTGGATTGTCCAATACGGTCGACAGAATGAACTTGTTTTTGTCCTTTTTCTCTATAAACAATTTGGACTTTATACCGATTCGCCAAATCGATCGATCGGGTTTTATACTGAATTTCGTATGCGAAAACTGTCCGTGATGCACACTAATTCAAGTCACATACTACACGAAGGAGTTCTGCAATCTGGTTGGCTCTTACCCCCGATTTTTCTGTCTATGTGGTAGTGTCGATTGATTCGATTTCTTTTCTCCATGTCGCTCCAGTTTCGAAAAATAAGCACAACAATATGTGTATCGGTCGCTATAGGAATGATCTTGTCGGAATTCGATACCCACCATGTGCCGTACGTGGACATGGTGAACCCGATCAACGGCCAGCCCCTAGTCGACTCTGCCATCATCCTCAAGGTCGTGTCTGGCCAGCTCAAGCCGTCGTTCACGGACGACTGCCCTCGGTGGATCTACGATATGGCGCAGCAGTGCCTCGCCCATGACCCTGACCAGCGCCCCACCGCCATGCAACTGTCGTTTATCATTGCCAATCGACTCAAAGACTTGACCAAATCGAGATTATCATTACCTCCACAAGCGTAGACAACACGGGGATTCTGTTTGTAGAGATTCCTAACAGTAAACACTACCGAAATACCATGCGTTGATGTGTGACGATAGTACAGTGTAGTTTATATATATATATATATATATATATATATATATATATATATAT